TTGTAATCACTCTTGTAATACGACATTATTGCTGTTATTTCATTGTTCTTTTTGTTTCTTTAAAAAATATGGATAATTTTGTTATTGTTTTGTTAAACAACTATCTTGTGACATATTGTATATTGTTACTAAAATACTTTACTGTTGTACAAAGAAAAAATTATTTAAATTTTTTCAAATTATTTGATTTAACAATTTTATCAAAGTATGATCTGTTTTGTTATATTCCTGAATAAGTTTAGTTATACCAGTCCTTAAAGAGGCACGCTGCCTTTTCAGTTTATAAGCAGGATCATTTTTCATAAAAAATAATTTAAATTTTTAAAATTTTATTGTCATATTCCAAACAACACACACTATATACATATAAAAATAATACAAATTTCAATCACGTGTACTGTCTAAATAAAGTATAAATTCACAATTTGTTTCAATTTATTTTGTTGCGTAGGCATACATTTCTAGCTTAATTTAATAGATAAGCAAATTAGCTTGTTTTATTTTATAGACCACAGTCAATTATTGTATTTAAAGTTTTCGACTAAAAAAAATAAACTATTTCATTTGTTAGATTCCAAATCGGATAATATGAATTTGCCTTTAATAGACTCACTCTATCTTTATCACTTGATATTATATGTATGTATATAGTAGCCACCATTATAGTCATCGTAATCATCTATGTAGTTGTCATTATTATAATGAATATAATCATCATAATGATTGCATTATTTTGCAGTTATTCACCCTTTGATTATTTCGTTACGCAAGTTTGTATCTTTGTGTAAATGTATAAAATTTTTTTTATTTCCCATGTGTAAACACTCTCTCTTTAACATTTACACATACATATATACATATTTACATACAACAAACCAGCTAGCATTTTTTGAAATTTTTGATTACATTCGAGTCATTTATGACTCTTCTGCATGATTAAAATGATCATATATGCGTTTATTTTCTGATCATAAATGATTCTTTTGTCGGGAGATAATTGTACCCTAACCGCGACTCTTCTATAGGAGTCTTTTATTAGCAACTCTTCTGATCAGATCTGACTCATTCTTGAATCTCCTTTGAGACATTAATGAGTCGAATTACTCGTCGTTTTAGAGTCATTTTCGATTCATATTTTAGTAGTTTTTGTCTCTTTCTAATTTTTATGTCTATTACAAACAAATACAATAATAAAGAAAATAGTTTTTGATCTTCCGATTGAGCGAAATATACATTATTACAAAATAAATGTGTAAACAATCATATTTCGAACATCTGGATGATCTCTTTATGATTGGTATACATTTTATTATTATTTTCTTTTTGCCAACTCTTCTAAAAGAGTCTTTTATGAGCCCTTTTACTAATTAGTTTCGACATAATTTTTAAATAATTTTTAAGTGTAATTGTTGTTGTTCCATTACAAACAAAAACATATGAAATATGATCTCAAAATAAAAATCTAGGAAGTAAAATGTTTAAATTAAGATAGAAAATCCTAAGAGTTTTAGTTATTTTTATATATAAAACAATGTCTTTCTTGTTACAAAATGTATGAAATTTCAGGTGTTGTCTCGAATTTTTGCTCATATCTCCATTATTTATGGACGTATTTTGGTGATTTGAAATAGGAAACTTCTTGAAAGCTTGCCTGATAGAAAATTGATTTCAACATACACACAGACGGACAGACAGACAGCCAGACAGATACACAGATAGACAGACAAACAGACAGACGGACATGGCTTTATCGACTCCGCTATCTATTGGAATCCAGAATATGTATGTATACTTTAGATATAGGGTCAGAAAAAGGTATAATGAAGAGTATAAAAATAATAATTGATTCCAAAGTATTTACTACTTTTACGAAAAAAAGTAATTTTATGAAAAAAGGTACTTTTTTGAGAAAAAACATTTTTGACACCAAGAGGACCAGGCACTCTCTCATACAGAAAACATTGTTTGATTTTGAGGTATTCGTGATAAAAATTTTCTTTTCAGTTCTACATTTCCACTGAAAATAGTGTAAAATTTTGTTAAGAATATTCATAAATAGAAATTGTATTTAAATTTAAAAAAATTTTGTCTTTGCAAAAATTGAACATGAAGCTATTTTAGAGAATTTTTCTATTTCTAGGACTTCTTCAGAAAATTTTAATTTCACATCTCTGATTCATTATTTACTCCAATTTTAAATACTAAACCATACAATCCATACTAAATAAATGCTCTTTTTCTCATTTTGTTGCATAAAATAAATTCTCTAGTGTTTGTGTGCAAGTTTATTTTACACTTTTTTTTTGAGTTGTTAAACATCCACAGGGGAATTCTATCAGCATTTTATTTCAATTCTTTTATCATTATTTTTTTTTTGCTGTACTGTTGTTTTCTATGTAGTTGTTGTTTTTATTAGAACGGAAGTTAACTAGTCAAATGTAATGTGTTGTCGTTGTCTATATCACTTTCTGAGTGTGTGTAATAGTTGTAGTATGAATACAATGGCATGACATTTTAATATGTATGTATGAATAAATGAGAGAATGAGTGAATGAAAGAATGAATGTTTGAGTTCAATATTGTATAATCAAAAGGTTAATTGTGTAAAGTTTTACTTTTGACGGTGAAATGTGATTTGATTGTAATGAATATTTTAAAATGTTACACGTTATATTGGTATTTGACTTTAGATATTTGTCGGCTGGCTGAATGGTTGTTTAAAAAAAGTTTTTCTTGTTTTACATAGTTACTTTCCAACGAATGAAAATGCATAAAACATTAAGCATTTTTTTTGAGATTTAAAAATATTATCATCTAGCTCGAGGTCAAAGTTTTTAAATAGATATTAAAGTTTTTCTATATGTACATGTATACATAATTTATCCCCTTTGTATAGCAAAATCGTAATGTATTCGAACTAACCTTTCCAAAAAGATAAATAAGACAAAAATTTTTTAATTTTTTTAGTTATTTAAACTTCTTCCAAAGATGTTCGGAAAAAAGAAAAATTTTGGCCATAATTTAGTTGAAATACTTTCATTACAAGTTGTTGCTTAATATTGATCAAGTATACATAGTAAACCCTTTCAAACACAGGGTCATAATCTAGATCTTCTTTTTAAACAAATTCTATAATCTTTTTATATCACAAACATCGCGGCTGATATCCGAACTGAATAAAACCATTTATAAGAAACTAGTTCTGCTTTTCAATATTTTGGACAGTGGGGAAAAATGGAAATTTTTTGGAATTAGTCCTGTCATATTAAACGGTTCAATAAAAAAGCGGACAAATGTAACCCACTTTAAGCTCCTATAGTACCGCCCCTGGAGTATTTGTAGAGTCCATTTTAAAAACGTATCAAATTTTATCCTGGTTGATTTAGGCGTTTAGAAAAGTCAGATTTATTTTCAAAAAATCACAGTTCAGTTCCACTGTGTAATATTTTATTTATAAAACAAGTTTAAGGTTCATTCTTGCTTGTGTGTGTGTGTTCGAGCTGTTTGTGGTCTGTGTGAGTGTGGTTTTTAACCAACACTTTATGGACAAAACCACAAAGAAATTTTATAAAAAAAAATATAAAACTCATCTAGAGAAAACGACTTGCTTACTTGTTACAGAAGGACATGTCCGACCATATGACATCTTATTGCAGAGTACCGTATATAAATAAAAAATTAATATGTGGACTAGGTTCTATGACCTTGAGGTTAGTAAAAAAATCTCTATATGGGGTCTTAAGCCAATGATATACATCCCTCATCTCTACAGTTTTTAAATGAAAATTTTATGAATTAAACCAAATAGAATTTAAACGTATTTAGACTTATATAAAACTATGTTTTGCCGTATTATAGATCCTTGCATCGAGAGAAGAGTTTGTGTTAAATTTCATCAAATTATCTTGAAAATTGCGGCTTGTAGTGTGAGCATATACGATCAGACAGACGGACGGATGGACGGACATAGCTTCATCGACTCAGAAAGTGATTCTGTTATACTTTAAGGTATAACATATTTTTGGTGTTTCATTTATAAGTACAAAGGCATAATTCATAAAATTATCTTGAAAATTGCGGCCGGTAGCGTGAGCATAAAGTTTATATGGACACATATACGGTCAGACAGACGGACGGACGGATGGACGGACATAACTTCATCGACTCAGAAAGTGATTCTTTTATACTTTAAGGTTTCTGTGGGAAAAATATTTTCAGGTGTTGCATTTATAAGTACAAAGGCATAATTCATAAAATTATCTTGAAAATTGCGGCCTGTAGCGTGAGCATAAAGTTTATATGGACACATATACGGTCATACAGACGGACGGACGGATGGAAGGACATAGCTTGATCGACTCAGAAAGTGATTCTGTTATACTTTAAGGTTTCTGTTGGACAAATATTTTTAGGTGTTTCATTTATAAGTACAAAGGCATAATTCATCAAATTATCTTGAAAATTGCGGCCTGTAGCATGAGCATAATGTTTATATGGACACATATACGGTCAGACAGACGGATGGACGGACACAGTTTCATCGACTCAGAAAGTGATTCTGTTATACTTTAAGGTGGCTGTAGGATCAGTATGTTTGGGTGTTTAATTTATAAGTACAAACGCATAATTCATCAAATTATCTTGAAAATTGCGGCCGTAGCGTGAACATAAAGTTTATATGGACACATATACGGCCAGACAGACGGACGGATGGACGGACACAGCTTCATCGACTCAAAAATGTGATTCTGGTATACCTTAAGCAGGCTGTATAACCATTGCATTTATAAGTACAAACTTATAATATCCTCCCCACTATAGTGATATTGGATATAATAAAAACTAAAAAATGTTATTTAACAATATTTTTTAACAAAACTTTTTGTTTGTTTCATCAATGTGTAAATTATATAATTTTAAAGTTTTTTTTTTCTATAAATAAACAACAGCATTTATTTATGCTAATTTTGTTCTACCTTTTATCTATTTTTTCTTTGCAGAAGTGAATTTAATGTAAATTTTTAATGCAAACAAACATGACAACAGTTAAAAGGATTCTCAAATAAAAAAAAACTACAGCAGAAGAAAAAAAAAAGATAATAGAAAACTATATACATAAACTAACATCACATTTATGAAGGAAATTTTAATGCATTTTACGCACAACTAAACGGCTTTTAATATCCATAAACAGATTAGAAAAAAAGTACCCTCAGCAGCTGTAGTTATCTTAGAAGTAGTGAGAACAGCAAGAAGCAACCGAAGAAAGTGGCGAAAACATTAGAATAGTTTTAAATAACTTTAACATGAAGTATTATTTATTCTCCCATAAATACATTTTTATGCATTTTAAATATTTATAAAAACACAACAGCAGCAAGGCATTGGTTTAGAAACGAGTTTCCTTAGCAGAACACAACTCAATAGCAACGAGGCAGCAAGCAAAGTAATAGTTTCTAATGTCTGCGGCAGGCAAACGTTGAGTATGACACAAAAACGAGGGGATTCCACAACGTGTTCTTGAATACATAATAAAAATTCTCCTCTTTAACTAATACAACTTCCATCATACGAAACGACACAGTATTTAGATTGAAATCAAAGAAACAAGATTGTTGACACAAAAAAAGTGGGGAAAAAGTAGAATCATAAAGTCAAAAACATACAACCTCAACTTGTTGTAGCTGCAGGAAAAGCGAAAAAAAAAATCTTGATTTGGTGTATACACGTGTTTGAGTAAGAGTTAAGAGGTCAAATAATAAAAAAAATCCCGTTTTCCGTATCCGCACTCCTACGTATATACATGTTTGCGCTGATTTACTGCGTTTTACTCTATACCATCACACACACTCAAATAAAAAAGTGTGTTTGTGTGTAAATAACTGTTAGAATAAATGTTTAACAGTGCTGTGGTGCATCTAATAATTGTTTATGACAAGTTTGTGTCTGGCTAGAAAAAAAAAGACACGTGTATACTGCAGTTGTGACATTGTTAAATGAGTTTGATATAAATCATAAAGGATCCTTGCCCCAAAAGAAAATAAAAACTAAACAATAAAGTGACGTCAATATAAAAGACAAGAAGAAAATCCTGGAATTTTAAATAATTTTTTCTTCGTTACTTTAAACAACAAATAAGCAGTGGCGCGTCTACTATTATGGCTCGTTTTATAACAACATCATCATCACCAACATTAACAACATCGACCGCAGCAACATCATCGTCGTCGTGGTCGTCAAAAGCAACATCCACAGCAACATCGATTTCTTCCCATTCGAGAACATCCAGAAAATCCCGTTGTACCTCTAGCCATTTATTAAACGCGTTCGCGTCTTTAACGTCTCGTTCGTCGTTATCGTTATCGCTGTCGTCAACAACGTCAAATGACTTATATCGTGGTTTTCTCACCACACTCGTTATACTCTTGCGTATGTCATCGGTGGCGTACGGCATAACGGATCGTTTAATTGTTCAAACAACTAGTGGTCCCGTACGTGGTCGTGCGGTAACGGTACAGGGTCGTGAAGTGCATGTCTTCACAGGTATTCCGTATGCAAAGCCTCCTGTGGATGATTTACGTTTTCGTAAGCCAGTACCAGCTGAACCATGGCATGGCGTTTTAGATGCAACACGACTGCCAGCAACATGTGTACAAGAGAGGTAAGTTGACGTCATATAATGCACCCAGATTACCGTAAGTATGTCAGTCTGTAGATGAAAGAGTGTTCTGGTTAAGGTTTGTTGTAAATATTTTTAGTGGAAGTATAGTTTTGTATGCTGAAAAATGCAGTTTTAGTCATAAGTGTTTGGTCATAAAATATGTAATTCATGCAAATCTGTCCAGAGTAGAGTGCAGGTCAATTAAGAAAAGAAGAGTAAATATTGAAGACTTTAAAGCATTTGCCGCGGAAAGTTTTGTAAAGCTCGCAAAAAAGTGATATACATTTTTAACGCACTTTTTTATATTATACTTGGAATGGGTAGGATCGATTTGAAATGTTCAAAAATTGTATAAAATTTATAATCCTTATAAACAAAGGACGGTTATAGGAATCCATTTTTTTATTTTTTACTCAGTTTTTGGAAATGTAAGTCCAGTTTTGGGAGCTCGAATTAAAAATATGGGTAGAGAATCCTTTAAGGCCATGGGTAGAACCTCAAAGATCCTATGGGGTGACCCTGATGAGAGCAAGACGAGAAATCTCCTCAAAATGAGCAAGTCTGAAGTTAGTATGATGGTACGTATTCTGAGTGGACACACAGGATTACGAGCACATTTATGCAAAATTGGACGTGCGGATTCAGACGAATGTAGAGCATGTGGAGAGGACAGTGAATCTCTGGAGCACTTCATTTGCCACTGTCAGGCATTCGTCGAAGTTAGATCCAAGTATTTTGTAAGCGATGTTTTTCCCCAAATAACATTCCTGACTAACACTAATTGGAAGATTCTTAGGAATTACGTCCACGAAACGGAGTTCCTGAACATTGAAAAATAATACATTCAGTGAAAATTTTTTTTCATGAAAAGGAGCACACAATAGGCCCGATTGTGGCGTAGGTGTATTTTTTCGAATTTGATGTAGTATACATCTTCCTATCAACCTAACCTAAGTCCAGTTTTAGCAATGTTCACAAGTGTGCCAAAGTTGAAATTTTGATAAAAAAAAATATGTAAAATTCGGGAGGGCGTATGAGAGACATATTCAAAAATATGTCATGTTTTCGTACCGAAATGTTCTCCGTAAGATTACCTTTCAGAAAAATATAAATAGTTATATGTTCTTAAAGAAAGGTCGGACAAAAACAGCAAAAATCTTCCATTTACAGCATAGCAACCGCAAGTACGTTTTTAAGACGCAAATGCAATATAAATGCCATGTAAGTACCCTGCAAAAATGATTCGATTATATGATCCGTTTAGGTAATCCCCAAACTACTTTTTTGTACATAATCCATTAAGTAGTCCTATGTAATGCAGGCTTGGGTCATGCTTATTTATTTGAAAACAAAATGGTCCTTTGCCTTGGACATCAAAATATAAGATGGAGTAGGTTTTTATAATATATTTGAAACAATTTTCGAGCAGTCTTTTGAGGAGTACTTTTTACACGCGTTTGCGGAATAGCCTCAATATTTGCAGGGATTAGACTTTGATTGGTAAAGTGCATATTATATAAAATTTGCAGGAATAAAGATATTACAACAACATTTGTATATAAATCCAAATGACTTTTCTTGAATGATATAACAAGTGTTCTAATTCTCTAAATATAAGTAACGAAATTTTTAAAATTCTTAAAAATCAAACTTTACAATATGAGATCAATTACCCTCCACTAAATATACTACAGAGATAACTATATACATACATATTCAATTTGGCAATATACCAAATTTAACTCTATAAACTACACTACAACAACAACAGCTACAACAAAATTTGCAGTAGAGTGAATGACGTCATTGAATTGTCGTCACTATGAGATGAAGTCTGCATGAAAAATAAATAAAAACAAAAACAAACACAGTTTTATAGAACATGTTTGTGTATTTAACATTTTTTACTTTCTTTTCAACTTTTAGTTAAAAAAAAAATATGAAAAAACATGTATAAACAATAAAATTTATGTTAAATGCTGTAAAAAAAAGTTGTGGCAAAAATACTTTTAGGGGTAGAATATTAAAAAGTAGGTTAAACTATACTATGTGCCTAGAAGAGTACGAGTACGTACGTGTGTATGTATGTATGTAGGTGCCAGTGTTATATTTGGGTAAGTATATACACACATATACATATAAATACAAAAATTTATGAGAATCGGATACCGGTTATAATGTTGAAAAAAGAAATATCTAGATACACACAACCTAGCATGAAAGCTAAATGTTTGCCTAAGGATCATGTTATGTTTAAGGACTTAACAATTTCCTTTATAAGTGGTATATCTTGATTTGGTATATACCGCTTTTACTACAAGACCGACATAACTCAAAATACAAAATGTGTATTTCTATACTTTTACAGATTCAATTATTTTTTTAATTCAATTATTCAACTGAATAATTTTAATAAAAAGTCGTATGACCCACCAATTTTCACCGTTTTGATATTTTAGTTTCCGTGACTGTATACTTGTGTCTCAAATATTAAATTCTTTAATATTACAATTGCGAATATTGACCGTTTCTGCCTCTAGACTTAAACTTTAAGTTATAAAATACATTAAATTATTACAACTTTGTAATCAAAATATACTATAGATTGGAACAGACATTGAAAGTTATGTAAATCAAATTGTCCTTCGCAATATTCTTCGAATGCTCACACTTACACTGAACAATTTGTGAAAATTAGATGCCAGGTCCTATACAAGGCTTCCTTGATAATTAACTAATAAGTATTACCATTGTTAAATGAACTTAATCTAATTGTTTCGCAGTTAACTCATAATTCGTGCAACAAATCCTCAATAACTTAACTCACAAGAATGTCGAAGTGCTTTACGTAAACACCTGTTGTGTTGGCCTATTCCGGTGGTCTTTTTCTGACGACTCAGCAACGCCTCTTTCGTGTATCTTACACGCGGGTGGAAATTTTCGTACATGGTTCCGCCGGTCCATGTACAAGCACTTTGATCAAGTACTCGAGCTATCCAATTTCTAACCATTGCTGTCCCGTTGCTTAACTTCCAATATGCAAAAACATCGCTTCCGTTTACAACCACGCAGATGAGACGGTCTCTGTTGAGTCGGCAGCAGCACCTAGAGATGTATTCAATAGTACGAAACACGAATCCATCAAATAAGCCTGTTTGTAAATCTGCTATGAACAGAGTTTTCCCTGAACATACCTGGACAAGGAAGGAAAATTCAATGGTATTACTTGTATAGGATACCTTTCATCCATCATCATTCAAACCTGCACACTTCTCATTCATCCGACATATTAATAGAGAACAACATTCGACATTCTAGGTAAGATCCGTATACCCCTACATTCATCCTGTATCATATGCACTTAACACCAACTCATTTCCAACGTTTTGGGGTATTTGTTGACTTCGGCAACAGCACCGAACTTATCCCAAATTATAGATTTCTCCGTCCATCAGTCCTTTAATCGACATTCTCTTCCCGTATATTTGGGTTTAAACCACAGCCACTACGTGGATCCTGAAGGAATCTCAAACAATTGACCAGCCAGGAGAAAGTCCTATGTCCATTCGCAGCACCAGATTATGGATTGTCTGGTCCGATTATGTGATGGTCAAATCATTCCAAGGAAATTGATCATCACCTGTTTATAGTCCCGGCAGACTACAGGTATTGGTATCCCCACTTTTTCCCGGTATTGCAATCACACCAAGATGCGGTCTTTCATCAAGGTAACATGTCCCCGGAACTTAACTCATAATCGAATATAAAAACAGATAGAAAAGTTAAGTGGGGCGTTGCCTACCTGAAAGAGTCATTGATAATTGATTAAATTGATAAATTATTCATGATGAATTTCATCGCGATATTTGTGTTTATAAGTGAATTGTGGATATTGAAGAAATTTTCGGAAAGGGGGACCTTTCCGCACATTGCTTATATGTGTTAATTGTTAATGTTAATTTAATAATAAATTCATTTTTCATTGCTGAAACAAATTTTCATTTTCATAATTTAATTTTTTCAATACAAATTGTTTGACAAATTTGATACGAGTTTCTATTTTATTTTTTATTTAAAATTTTATTGAAGTGTTTGTTCATTTCCTCGATCATTTTTGAGTTACTTTGAAGCTAGTCATAAGAAGTTATCAAAAAGTTAACTTGATTTTTAGTTAACTCACAAAATCCTACAGGGTTCATTCAGTATCACTTGTATGGGTGCTTTTAACCATTTGTCAATAAATAGGCTTGTGTTTGTATATGACCAATATTTTTGTGCGTTGCAATTTGCAAACATCAGCACAATAAAACAACCTTCCCAATGAAAAACACCCTTTGCTAAACAAACCCAACAATGATGTCTGTCCTTCCACCCTATCTACTACGTCATAAAAATTTTTGATTGCAATTTTAACCAACTGCGATTTCAACGAAATTTCGAAATCTTAATACTAGGCGAACAGAAATTTCAGCTAAGCGATTTTTTGGCAGACTAATTTATTTTATGTCTACATACACACAAATTAAAAATCAACATATTAAATAAGCTGGTAAAATGTCACATACTTTAAGGATTAAGATTAAATGTTAATAAAGTAATGCCTTAAAGTATACTTTGATTTTCGTCAAAAACCTACATTTACACAGGGTGAATAAAATATTTATTATTTTTAATAAAAATTTAAATGCAGCTTGCAGAAAATTCTGTAAGCCTGGTAATAAGATTTCAATTTTTAAAGAAATTGAAGTTGGACAAAAATTGCATGTAAAATTTGTGATGACGTATCAAATAAACAAAGTACGTGTGGTTGGGGGTGTCTGTATGTATTATGTGTGTGTGTATGGTCGGTGTGTTTTCTGTTTGTTTGTTTTTTATGGAGTAAGAAGACAAAATAAATAATCTACAATGTAGAATTCATTCTATCTACATGGTTAAAGAAAAAAAAAAACAATGTAATTGAATTTATTATTTATTTTAAATTTCTTTATTGTTGTTTATTGTTTTTATTTAGTTGTTTATATTGAAAATCTTCAATTATTTTTTGTTACAAACTATTATTTCTTTATGAGAATAATACAAGTAAATGAAGAGAATCTTTTGAAATTGTCATAGATTGATTGTTAACTATAAAACAATTTATAAATTTTCATTAAAATCATTAAATCTAGAAAATCATATACACAATTTACTTTCATAATTAAGATTAAATAATATAAACAAGAGAATATTTATTTAGTGAATAATTTACTTATAACCAAGTATGTATAAAATGTAAAGTCATTAGGATAAATCGATAAATGTTTAAAGAATTTGATGACATTATAGCGCATTTTTGTCAATTTAAATTAAATTGTTTATATTTTTGTTTTACAGACAATTTTTCTGTAAAATATATTAAATTCCATGTATATGCTGCTCATTTTGATCTTAAAATAAACATTCAAAATTTCTATTTTTCATTATTATAAAATCCGTATAGTTGACCCGTTTAAGGCTTTATATATGCCATCAATTGTTATAACATCTTCAGCAGGATTCTTCGATTCATTTGAAACTGAAAATAAATCAAATAATTAAAAGACATATCAGATATGTACAATAGTAAATTCTTTAAAAGAAATTCGAAACAAAGATAAAAGAATATACAATTCATTGAATTATATATAGAAAAAATTGGTTTGTTGGAAAAATGTTTAAAATTTGTGTGAGTTATTCAAATTTTCCCCCCGAAGATTTTGTGAACCAGACGACACATTAAAGGATGATTTCGCAGAGAACTATAAAATATCCTTCATGTATTTCATTTTCAACAATACTTCTATAGGGTAAACTCAAAGTAGGCCACATCTGACATGTATATTTTTTAAACAAGTGTAATTTCTTTGTTTTACATCCGATTTGATTATAAACCAGTAAAAAGTCTATATTCGCCTTTGTCGAATCTTATATACCCTTCACTATTGTGTGTTTAAAAAAATATTAATTTTATAAAATTTCAATTTATTTAATTTTTTCCGACTCTACCATTACTTTAGTAATAACAAAGAACACAGAAAAAACAAGTAAGAAAGTATAGTCGGGCGTGGCCGACCATATGATACCCTACACCAGTTATGAATATTAAATGTGATTTATTTTTCATAATAAAGCATTTATCTTCAATATTCCCTTGTTCCGATACATTTAATTATGAATTATGAATTATGGATGAAAAACTAATTTTCTGAAAGAGGCTTTATATGGAGGCTAGGGGCAAATATGGACCAAGCCCGATAAAATTTTGTGAATATATTTATATTTACATAATATTTTATTCTGCTAAGTAAATTTGGGACATTCAAGTAATTTTCTGAAGGGGACTTTGTATGGGAGCTAGGGTCAAATGGGGCCCGATCTTTATGAAATTTGGCAGGGTCATCAAGACTTCTATAAAACTTAGTTGTGCCGCATTTTATCGATATATCTGTATATTTAACATAATTATGAGCTCAAAAGCCCTTTTCGGGGGGTTCTGTTCTATGGGGGCTAGGTGAAATAATGGACCGATTTTAACCATTTTCAATAGGCTTCGTCCTTGGGTCAAATAAAACGTGCGTGCCAAATTTCAAGGTTTACATGGACAGCCAGCCAGCCAGCCAGACGGACGGACATAGCTTAATCGACTCAGAAAACGATTCTAAGCCGATTGGTATACTTTAAGGTGGGTCTAGGACGAATATTTTTGTATGTTACAAACATCAGCACAAATCCAATATACCCTCCCCACTAAAGTGGTGTAGGGTATAAAAATACGCAAAGCAATAAAAGCAACAAACATCCACACAAACGTTTCTTTCCAATAAGCAATGTTGTTGTTGCTCCTTTCAACAGACACACAGACAGACAGACAGACAGACAGACAGACAGACAGACAGACAGACAGACAGACAGACAGACATACAGACAGACAGACAGACAGACAGACAGACAGACAGACAGACAGACAGACAGACAGACAGACAGACAGACAGACAGACAGACAGACATACAGACAGAAAGAAAGAAAGACGGACAGACAGAGAGACAGACAGACAGACAGACAGACATACGAAATCACAAATTTATATACATATACTCTTAAGCAATTTATTGATAAAAAAACCAATTTTTTAATAGAAGCTTTATGTGGAAGTTTGGATCAAATTTGGGCTGATCGTCAAAAAATTGGGAGGAGGGATGTATTTTTATATAGTGGTTATAAGTCAATCTTTTATGAATGATAAAGGCGGTTTGTATGGGGTCTAGTGTTATGATGATCATTACAAAAATCTTCATGGTTATTTATTTCTATACATAACTTAGTTGTGTCATGGAGCAATATAGGAAGGTACGGTGAAGGCTTAGTGAAATAATAGACAGATTTCAATCCTAGTGCCGTATGGACACGTATGGTCCAAATTCTATCAAAATATCTTATATCTGTACCTTGCGCACAAGGTTTACATGGACAGCCAGCCAGCCGGACAGACTAACAGACATGTCTAAATCGATTCAAAAAGTGATTCTGAGTCGATGGGTATACTTTAAGGTGTTCAAATATTTTTGTGTGTTACAAATATCATAACAAATGCATAATACCCTCTTCACTATAGTGATGCATATACATATGTATGCTAAAAATTAAAAAAAAACTTGATTAATATAACTTTTTAAAAGCCATTTGAAGTACATGCTACATAAATCGACTATTGTGAATAAAACGTTCAGGGCAACACAAATTATATTTCTATTGACGATTGATATTAATATGATACAATATTTTTTCCTATAAAGATTATTATATAAAAAAAATTTAAGAAATTAAAATTATTTTGAAAGCTTCCCTAATATTCACAAATATAAGTTGATTAACTTAAAACTGCCTTCACACGCACAATACTATGTAAATCAATAAGTATGTATATTGAACGTGAAAGATTTAATAAATTAGAAATATGTATATACATATGTATATGAATGTGTTTAAAACACAAATACATACATACATTTAAATACAATACGATATTGTATCCTTTAGCAGACAATTGATAGATGGCTGGACAAAATGTATAAGAGAATTAGAATGATAGATAGTGATAGAGGGGATATTTATTATCAATACACATACTACATACGAAGAAACACCTACACATATTGTTAATATGTATGTATAATATTTCTACAGTATGAGGTCTTGTCATTAGCACGCCAGTGTAATTATGATAAATATTTAAATTTGTTGATTTGTTATGTGTTCTCATATGTATGTACTACGTCTGCTTACAACACACCCACTCTCGATGGAATAAATCAAATTATATTTTATTTAATTTGATTTAAAGATTTTGTATAAAATATGAATTATGTGTTTAATTGGTAGAAATTAAAGAATTTGTGTTTATAATTATTTTTTGTAAAAAGTCAAATTATTTGAACTTTTCTAGCAAAATTTGCATTAGTTAAGGTTGCTTCTTAATATTTAAATACGGACTGTTAGCTTAAATGAACTTATTAAACAGATAACTAACCCAACTAAATATGCTCAAATAGACCACATAATATTTCATCTGATTGTAGTATATATTCGATACACACCTATCATAATTAAGAACCCTGTGGTTTATTAACGATGGTAATAAAGTTTAAATAGAATACACTCTATTAGGGATATTACAATATAAATTAAAAAAGAAAGGTATAGGAGAAATATGGCCTTTGCTATCTACAACTTATTTAATATTTATTACTAGACATTGTTAAATTTATGACCATAATTTTTTATCTGTTATTTCTATTGCAGATACGAATACTTCCCTGGCTTTTCCGGTGAAGAGATATGGAATCCCAATACAAATGTATCAGAAGATTGTTTATATATGAATATATGGGCTCCAGCAAAGGCGCGTCTGCGACATGGTCGTGGAGCCAATGGTGGTGAGGTAAGTTTTGCTAATGGTTTTCGAAATTTGTAAGGAGTCTAGTACTGACTATACTTTTCCTTTTAGCATTCATCGAAAACCGATCCTGATCATTTAATCCATAGTGCAACACCCCAAAATACAACAAATGGTTTACCCATTTTAATATGGATCTATGGTGGTGGCTTTATGACTGGTTCGGCCACACTGGACATTTACAATGCCGACATTATGTCAGCGGTGGGTAATGTTATTGTTGCCTCATTTCAGTATCGTGTCGGTGCATTTGGTTTTCTACATCTTTCACCGGTTATGCCAGGTTTTGAAGAGGAAGCGCCCGGTAATGTTGGCCTTTGGGATCAAGCTTTGGCCTTGCGTTGGCTTAAGGAAAACGCTCGTGCCTTTGGTGGCAATCCCGAATGGATGACACTGTTTGGTGAATCAGCCGGTTCGAGTTCGGTAAATGCCCAGCTAGTTTCGCCAGTTACCAGAGGTCTAGTGAAACGTGGCATGATGCAATCGGGTACCATGAATGCACCCTGGAGTCATATGACTTCGGAAAAGGCAGTAGAGATTGGTAAAGCTTTAATAAACGATTGCAATTGTAATGCCTCATTGTTGTCGGTAAGTTTTTTTGGATAAATTAAAAATGATTATGATTTTAAGGAAATAAAACAGTCCAAAAAAATGTTAAAGCCAGAGACGGGAGTATATCCGGAATTTTTCCTTAATATCAGGGTAAAATATTTATTTTAAAGGCTCAACCTCTATAATTAATTTTATAAATAAATGTGTAATATAATGTCTCAAATATGGCTAAAATGGGTTTTAAAGTTTCCAAATTTTAGATCGAGATATTTGAACAACCTGATGTAAAGGAGAAATTCTGATTTAGTCTCTGGGTTACAAATTTGTTGGGCTATGAAATTAACTTATTTTTAAATTAATATGATTTTTTTTAACTATTATATTTGATTTTGGTTAGACTAATCCTCAATCGGTAATGGCCTGCATGCGTGCGGTCGATGCAAAAACAATTTCAGTACAACAATGGAATTCCTATTCGGGTATTTTAAGTTTTCCCTCAGCTCCCACTATAGATGGTGCATTTTTACCAGCTGATCCCATGACTCTTATGAAAACAGCTGATATGTCTGGTTATGATATTATGATTGGAAATGTCAAAGATGAGGGTAAGTTTTTATTTGATTTTTAATGATATCTAGTCAATTTTAAGATAAATGGGAAAACTTTCAATTAAAAACTTCTGTTTACCTAAAAATGTCTTCATAATTTTCCTTAAATATATTGTAGATAATTATAATTATTAAGGGATATCAAGGCACACTTCTTTGAACAAAGCTACACATTTTTTTAAATAAATACTAAAAACAACAAGGTGAATTCAATTACCAGAAATGGTTCTTGTCTTTTGAGATCATTGTCTAAAAAACAACTTATTATTTAACAGCAGTTGTTGTGTTTTATTTTTTTGGTAAGAGTATTTTTGTTCGTAATTTTTTTTCTTCTTTTGCCCTTGACACATCTTTTTTATATATTATTGTTGGTTTAACATTTATTTTGGTTTTGTTGTTTTTGTTTTACATTACCCTAAGGATTAATACTTAAATACGAGTACAATCACATGACAATGTTGTTATTTTTTGTTTGTTTTGTGGTTGTAAACGTAAGTACCAGTTCAATTACTGTTACTAGTTACAGCTTTTACTTCTCATTGGACTAAGTATCAGTGTTGTTAACTTTAGTTTACTTAAATAAATTTTTCTTTACATTTAATAAAGTTTTGCTGTTAAAACTTTAGAATGCTATTTATTTCTCCATTATTTGTTAAAAAGACCATTTTCAAAAAAGCACTAAATTGACCACATTTGCTACATACCTTAAGTATGCTACGCTAGTTCTTTGTTGTTGTGCTTAAAGCCGTAAGCGTTTTTCTTTCATTCCACGTGTTAGCTATCAGTACCAAACAATTTGACATCAAGCTAAGTTTATGCTTAAAGTTTGTCATAGCTTTTGTGTTTATTATTATTTTTTTTTTATTGTTCTTCATTGTTTACAAAATACATATTATTGTTCTTGCGAAACGACCTAGTGCAGAGAGAGAAAGAGAACTTTTCACATACCACCTTTATACTGCGAACAATTACAACAACAGCTACTGTGAAATGAAATTGTTATTGTTTCTGTTTAAACAGTTGTTAACTGATGATTTTATTATTTTTATCATTTGTGTTTACACGGCTGACCTCACACAATACTGAAATACGAATAAATATAGATATGTTTTTCTGGTTTTTGTACCCTACAGATGTATAAAATATTGAGTGATTGGGTTAGGTGAAGAAAACATTTTAGACCAGAACAGGAAATAAAAATAACTTGGAGTCATTTTAATTGATTACGCAGTGAGAAAAATAATCAAAAATAGATATACCTGAGAACTGATACTATTTTCCTGATAGGAATTATCGTGTACAAAAAGAATCTGTTTTTAAATTTTCTAAACTCCTCCAAAATCTTGTATATGATGATTAACACAAAATTGTTCAAAAACTGATTTCTGAGAAACTTAAAATGGGTTAACTAAAAAAAAAATCGGTTAAAACTCAACTAAGTTATTGAATTAGTTAGTTAGTTAGTTAGTTAGTTAGTTAGTTAGTTAGTTAGTTAGTTAGTTAGTTAGTTAGTTAGTTCGTTAGTTAGTTAGTTAGTTAGTTAGTTAGTTAGTTAGTTAGTTAGTTAGTTAGTTAGTTAGTTCGTTAGTTCGTTAGTTAGTTCGTTAGTTCGTTCGTTTCGTTCGTTCGTTCGTTTCGTTCGTTCGTTCGTTTAGTTAGTTCGTTCGTTCGTTCGTTAGTTCGTTCGTTCGTTCGTTCGTTCGTTTCGTTCGTTCGTTCGTTCGTTAGTTTCGTTAGTTCGTTCGTTCGTTCGTTCGTTCGTTCGTTCGTTCGTTCGTTCGTTAGTTCGTTCGTTGTTCGTTCGTTCGTTCGTTCGTTCGTTCGTTCGTTCGTTCGTTCGTTCGTTCGTTCTTGTTTGTTTGTTTGTTTCGTTTTTTCGTTCGTTCGTTCGTTCGTTTTCGTTCGTTCGTTAGTTCGTTTCGTTCGTTCGTTAGTTGTTAGTTTTCATTTTTAACTATAGAGCTTTTCATTAATACATAATTTCAGTTAGTTAGAGTTAGTTTAGTTAGTTCGTTAGTTCGTTAGTTGTTCGTTCGTTTTTTTTTCGTTAGTTAGTTTTAGTTCGTAGTTCGTTAGTTCTTCGTTCGTTCGTTCGTTCGTTAGTTCGTTCGTTCGTGTGTTCGTTGTTCGTTCGTTAGTTTTTCGTTCGTTTGTTTTGTTAGTTCGTTTCGTTCGTTCGTTTTGTTCGTTTTCGTTTAGTTCGTTCGTTCGTTCGTTTTCGTTCGTTCGTTCGTTCGTTCGTTCGTTCGTTCGTTCGTTCGTTCGTTCGTTCGTTCGTTCGTTCGTTCGTTCGTTCGTTCGTTCGTTCGTTCGTTCGTTTTCGTTCGTTCGTTCGTTCGTTTCGTTTTTGTTCGTTTTTCGTTCGTTCTTGTTTCGTTCGTTCGTTCGTTGTTCGTTTTTTTCGTTTTTTCCCTTTTTGCGTCCCCTCTCGCCGCTTTTCATTCCTCCCCTCACTTTCCTTTAATTTCTTACTTCCCAATTACCTGCATGGGGAATTAAAAATAATTTTTTCCCTGCTACTGCCACCCCTTTTTATTTAAAGAGTAGAAAAAACAAGTACAAGGTTTTTTATTTTTACATCTCTTGACAATAATTAATTACGTGACAGTTCTTTCAAACATGATTATTTGAACAAATAAAAGCTTATTTTTTGAGGTTGAAAAATAAAAAATGACGAATGTGTTGTAAATAAGGCTTTTGGTTTCTTGTAAATATCACCTCTATACAAAGGTCTTGAAATAATTAAACCAGTTTAAGCAAAGTTTCAGTACTTGTCTTATTGTGATTAAAATCTAGCATATTGACTACCACGAGAGCATTTTCATAGATTTTTTTTAATTTGTTTTCCAACGTATTTTCATATTTGCTTACCTGGAAAATACTTTTGCCGGAATTATAGTGACATCATTGTCGAATATAGCTTTCATTCTAGGTACTTTCCCAATTTTACGTTGAGCTATTAAAGCTACTCCAAATCGGTTTGTGAGCTTAATTGTTCGCCACATTAGTTAATTCTGAAAAAATAAAACATATAGTCAATCAGTAATTGCATTAATATGTTTAGACATTGTAAGAGATGCGGTACAAATTCCACATATAGAGTTAATATGTTTCTGACTTCAACTACTTTTTTAGCTATCAATACTAAGTATGTATAGAAAAGATTTTAATATGACGCATATATTCTGATATCAGTTCAAAAAACCTGAATTTTTAATTACATATGTCGCAAATAAGCAATATATACTTTGAAATATGTGTTTCGACTTTTTTCAAATTTTGTTAATAAAGATAACACTTATTAAGTACATAAGACGTATACTTAATATTTGCTCTTACAATAGATAAATAATACTCATACGTACATATGTTTCACTTTATTATTTTTAATGACAAAACATATTTATTATGTACAATATCCTTCCTTAAATAATTACTTACAATCATTATTTAATTATTTTCCTTTCTTTTTCCAGGTACATATTTTCTCTTATACGATTTTATTGATTACTTTGATAAAGATGAAGCAACATCATTGCCACGTGATAAATATTTAGAAATAATGAATAATATATTTAATAAGGCCACACAAGCCGAACGGGAGGCCATTATATTTCAGGTAAGTTTTATTTTAAAGCATTTTAAATCGAAAAAATAAAACTTAAAACACCAACTTTAATGTTAGCGTTCGTTGTCAACAATAATATTTATACGAAAATAAATATTTTATAGATACCATATTGTTGTATGTCAGTGATATTGATTAAAAACCTATAAAAAGTACTTGTGTTTATTTATAGACCAATATTCAAATTGTATATCGGAAATTAAAAAAAAGTCAAAAACATGAACACCAGAAATAAATTGCAACAGCTAAAATTTACAATACCCACGTTTCTCATAAATAAAACAATATACACGCACACTGTGATACAAACGTTTGTGTATTTATATTTTTTATATGATTGTAAATTGTATGCAATTTTTTTATTATTGTTATTATTGCAATTTTGCAAATATATTTTTAAATATAGACTTATTCTTTTTATTTAATTGTTGTGTACCCTCTTTTTATGAAGTTTATTTTTTTTGGATTTAGCTGGAGGCTCGTTACTAGATAAAAAATATTTCACTTTTTTAAAAATTTATATTTTAGTATAGAGTCCAGGAAAATAAGGGTTTTGCTGGGGAATTTCAGATAGCTAAATGAAAATTGGCTTATTATTAGTTAAAGATATGTAATTAAATTTTATTACACTCCTTACCATAGCATCACTCTATCGATTGGTCACTGGCCATCATTATGAATATAATTAGAAAAGAATAGTGGACATAATATACAAATTCAGAGGATTATTTCCAATAACTTAGACTACGGCTTCAATTATCTCTAAAATTTTTTACAATGTACGCTTGGGATTAATGGTGAATTAATTGAGACCCCAATATGAATCCCTGTGGCAATTTTCATTAAGCTATCCGTCATTCCACAGACATTTCGACCACTTGAAAAGTTTAACCCTTTCGATTAGTTATAACTCGGAGCATATATTCTACTCTTAAATGCGGTTTATATGACATATAAATCGGATCCATACTGTTCTTATACGGTTCATACTTTGAAGGTCTCTAAACATGGGCATGTCGGGTATTTTTGTGAAAAATTATTCGATTTTAACAAATCGGGTTTCGTTCGACAGGAATTCCATAACTTGTTATTGAAATTTCATTAAATTACCAAAAGGACCAAAAATAGAAAATGTCCTTTATCCTTGAATATCTTAAAAAAGGATTTTTACTTTTCTTAATTTTTTTATACAAAATTATCGTCATAACGATGTAAACAATTTTATGGGCTTGGAAGTTATGGCAGTTTTTAATTAGCTTGATATGATGGTAAAAATTATCAAAAATCATGTCCTAATTACATGAAATATTGGAGGTCAGAGGTCAAAATAATAAATTTCTTAGACATATATACCTCTATATGCCCCGGTTGTAGAATCCATTACAAAATTTGAAGAGAATCAAATTTACAGCATTTTGGTTTAAGATAATTTCCCCATATTATCACCAGTTTTCAAGTTATCGTTTTTTGTTCATTGTGAAATGTTTTTCTAACCTCAATATATTTTGTACTACAAACGTTATTGTGATAATTTTTTCTTCAGCCGTTAGTAATGAAAACATATTTACTTTAGTGTCGGAGTTGCTCTTTGACCCATAGTGCAATGTCTTATAATGTAAATCTTAAAATTTAATTGGAGTCTATAATAATGATGTTAAAGGCTGGATATATGTATGTATACACACTTCCTTACACACTTCTTATATGTGTAGAAAATTTGCCAAATATATTTATGTTTTGCAGTTGACATAACAAATTAATACCATAAAAATTCTCCATATAATGAGAATATTTTTGCATCCCTTGAAATTAATTTTATATAAAATTTATTGTGAATTAATTTTACCAACAAAATATAATAGAAAGTTTCTTACATTTGGCATCAGTCTAATTTCGAATGATTCTCAAAAAACTTCCTAAAATACTCAATTGTTGAAGAGTCCTTAAAAAAATCGAACAGTACTTTATGCAAAATTAAAATGTTCAACAATCCATTTAATATATTGCAATACCATTAGTTTATTTGAGTTTTTATTTTTCACATTGTTTTGTTTTTTTTTTTGTTTTTTTATAGTTTCCTATTTATTTTATTTCATATCATTCTTTGCAGTTTGAATTTATTGCTTCCGTCTCTGACACTTAAGTCTTATCGAAATATAAAAATATTTATGCTTGACAGTAACAAAATAAAATAGTTGAAATCTCATGTGATTTTAACAATAGTTTTTGTCATATTACAGAACAGAACACACACATACATATAAAAAAGACAATAATAGAGGATAAAAGCGTAAAACAAATAAATATATAGAAAGTGGATGTGATTAAAGGACTTTACATATCGATCCTTTTGGAGCGATCTTCATAAAATTTTATAGATTTGTTCTTATAAAACCTTTTTATGTAGAACTTCATAGCTTTAGTGACATTCTTAAGTCAGCAAAATGTATTAAAGTTAATTTCTAAAGAGCACCTTATATGGTGAGTAGGGGCCAAATTTGACCCTTAGTTAGTTAAAAATATCTGGTGTCAAATTTCACAATAATTGCTGGGGTTGATGTACATTAGTGTGTCCCTTGGATCACATTTTTGTAGGAATATCTCACAGACGATGCGTATTAAGTAGTATAATAAATATGAGAAAAATACATTTTTCAATGCGCTTCAGTTTCCCAGCAACGACTGAAAACCTAATCTCGGTACAATATGTTCAAAAATATTCTGAAATCTTTTCGAAATGGGGCTCAAAAATTTCCTCTAGCTGCTCCTCTATAGACAGTAGAGCAGACTGACGGACATGGCTAGATTGTCTTCTAAATATCTATTTATATATTTATGAATAATATTTGAATGTGATACAAACCGAAAACCAAATTCATTATACAACATACTTTTAGATGATGGGTATAAAAACAGAAATCGAACATGATAAAATATTTCAATTTAGAATGACAAAAATTACATTTGAATTATTAGCATTTTATAATTGAGTTTTTGTTGTCCTATAAATAACTAACACCATATTATTATTTAGCAGAAATTCTCGATAGGTTATAAATAACAACGAAAAGCAGGTAACACTAATAATATGTTTAACGGTATACATTTAAAGGATATGCATGGTTATACGAAATGTGTTGGTACATGGACAAAACTAAATTATTTTCAAATGAAAAAAATGTTTGGGATTCGTAATTGAATATCAAAGAAACATCAATGACGAACATTTTTTCATAAATATCGCTGGAGGATGTTAAAGTGAATTGAATTTGTACACAAATACTCTATGGTACTTTACACATATCATATGATTTTAACAATATTGTTTGTCCTATCACTAACAAAACTCAAACATATACATACACAAATAAAGACGACAATAGTGAAGGATAATAAAAATGTCCCATTTTTTACTATGACGGGAATCAAACATGCAGAAATATTTTAATTTAACATGACATTGAAAATTACATATCAATCGTTATTGGCATTTTATAATTGAGTGGTTTTTTGTAGTTTATTTAATTTGCAACATATTATTTGACATAAATATTGGATATATCACACATCACATTAAAGCCTGGAAGCAGGCAATACAAATAAAGGAAAAACTACGCATTTAATTCTTCCCTTAGTACAAAATCTTGAATTTTGACCTTGAACATTTACAGCTATGAAACAAATGGTACTGGATTCGTAATTAAATATGTATCAAACAAATATCAATGTCAAGCATTTGATTGTGTCAAAATTCAAATGAATTCGTAAAAAAAAAAATAATAATAAGGAAAAAGTTTGTGTTTCTTGTAGTTTTGAAGAGATACACTTAATTTTATTAATGTCAGTCCCACACCCTCCTTAAAGTATAACAACTGGCATTTTCTGATTCAATTAAGCTATTATGCATCCATCTGTGTGTCCATAAACCTTGTGCGAACGACACAGGTTGTAATTTTCAAGATAATTTGATGAAAATTGGTGCATAAGTTTTCCTGGTCCAGGGACGAAAACTATTAAAAATGGTTGAAAACGGTCCCTTATTTCACCTAGCCCCCATACGACGTACCCGCCGAATTCTATTGATTTCAAATTATGTTAAATTTTCTAGTATCTCTACAATCAGCACAAATTACTATTGGATAAGTCTAAATTTTACTACCAGTTTTCATAATGATCGGGCATCATTTGAACATAGCACCCATACATAGAAAATTATAATTTTAATGTAAACATATATCCTTCTACTAACAAGGATAGACCAATTTACATATATTCGATTATTGTTCCATTAAGATATAAAGCACAAAAATCGGTTAAAAATTCTAAAAGTTATTACAAATTCCTCCGATCCTTTAGTGCCAAAAAACACTTGTCTGAAAAATATTTAAAAAAAATAACAAATTTTGTGTAATCTATATATATATATATAAACGAGTAGCGTTACTGACTGACTGATTCATCATCGCACAGCCCAAACGGCTGAACCTAGAATCATGAACTTTTGATAGCAGATGTATTTTTGGTTATGTAGATCCACTAAGGAGGGATTTTTGAAAATTTGTACATTTACAGGTAAAAAAGGAAAAACAGGTTTTCTTAATTATCTTACCTAATATTAGTGATACAAGAAAAATTCTAAATGCACCTGTATCTACTCTTAAAATGAGCAGATGGGTGTCTGGTACTTTTTTGAAATGTGTAACAAAGGTGATTTTGGTGCCTTTTGTGGCGCTTTATAACTTTTGAACTAATTAACATAATACATTTTTTATAAATATTTTGGATACATCTCCCAAAATTATGAGACACCTGTTTCGTACTTTTTTAAAATTCAGTCCTTTTTGGGTGTAAAAGGGAGAAAACTGTATTTATGGTACTTTTTAGCACATTAAGAACACTTTTTCGGTTTATTGAATTATTCCTATTAAATTACGGACTAACTCTGTAATATTTATTGTAATAAAATGTTTGCTATTTCACTGGGGAAAAAAGTAACAAAAAGGGAAAAAACGGGAAATTAATTTTTATTCAAATTCATTGAGCCAATTTGTATAAAATTTGAAAAAGTAGTTTATTTACTTACACAAAATAAGCTGTTGGTATATTATTTTGGAATTCGAGTACTAAGGCCTATATAGGACCAAATTCGAGTAAATTGTTTGGTACTTTTTGAAAGCACTATTTTTCTGGAACAAATGAATGCAGATTTGAATCGTTTGAGTTTTATCTGTAATATATAGATTCAAATATGGAACATTTTGTAAACTTAATTCTCAAAAAAGTATATTTCTAAGCGAAAGGGAGAAAAATTGTACTCTTTTTATTAGTACTTTCCACTTAGGTAAAATTTATTCCACTTTTGGTACTTTTTCTTTCTTCAAATGATACTCTTTGTATGTTCATTAATATGAATTCAAAACACATGCTTATTAAACATACACAGTCCTCATTGAATAAGATTCTATAAGAGAGAACTTTTTAGTACTTTTTATCTCATAAATGGTACTTTTTTAAAAAATATTCAACCTAGGAACATTCATTTTAACATACATGGTCTTGACTGAATAATATTCTGTAAGCGGGAACTATTTGGTACTTTTCTATTCTTATCTTTAGATTCTTATTAAATGAGAATTTATTGAGAGAGATTTTTGTTTTTTTTTTCGTTTTTTTCCGATGGTAATTTTTTATATTTTTACAATATTGAACATAGATATTGAAAGTAAAATTTAAAATGTAGGGAACTTAGTGAATGAGAATCTACTGAAAGGGACTTTTGGTACTTTTTCATTCATTAAAATTATATTTTTTGAATTGTATATAATTTTGTTAAAATTTTTGGAAAACAGCTTTTATTCTTTACATTTATACATTTTATATAAAACTTTTTAAGATAATATGAAACATATATCTGAAGTTTTAGTTAAATCGAATAATGTTAACCCATAAACTGTGAAGGTCAAACTCAAGCTTTGCAATATTAAGAAATCCTCTTGAAACCATAGTGAAATATTATTTTATTTTCAACCGATTTAAATGAAACTTAGAATGAATATATAATGAAGACCTGTATTTATGATGACACTGTATTAATTAACCTTTAAACGTAAATATATTTTTATAATTATATAAAATGTGCATAATATATGAACAAAATATTCGATTTAATTTTGCGAGAAAATGGAAACTACATTAAAATCAGTCGAATTGGTTTCAAAAGTTTTCACAAACCTTCATTTCGTTGGCCTGCGTAATCAGCATTTTTTACATACTAATCACTAATGCACGACTATACATTCTTACTAGTTTTCTCATAAATTTTGTAATTTTATATGAGTTTTAAAAACCAATTAGACCAATGTTCTCATCGAAAATTAAAATTTAGATACCATTTCTCAAAGTTTTTGTATTGACGTTAATATTTGGTGAGCTGATCAAAGCTGATCTTATGATTTTTTTTAATATTTGTTGCGAAGAAAATATACAAATTTAATATCAGAGACATTTCTTTTGAAGGCGCTTTCAATGTCATAGAGATAGAAATGAGAGTCAAAAGGCTCTTACAGACCAAATTTGGTTACAACTCAATATCTCTAAAAAACTCTGACAGGTCATTAAATAGAATGATTGAAAATAAATAACACCTCTATTTAAACTACATAATATGAACTTCAACCATCAATTATTTGATTAATTTTTTTCTATAAATGCATGGTTTTTTAATAATATTAAAATAATTGCAACCAATTATTCACATATCAGACACATATGCAAATTTTATTTCTATAGTCATAAAATAGTCATTATGGCTAATTTCTTTTATGTGTTTAATAAATTTTTAAATTGTTCAATTAAATGAAATATACAAAAAAAAAAACACAATATAGTAATATTTTTTAAATAATTTGTTTACAATAAGGGAATAAACTAATTTAAATTTAATAGAAAAATTATTTAAACAATAAAATGAATGGCTATTGTTGTAATAAATTGTTTTTAAATTTGGTTAGTTAATTTTTATCATGTAGTTTCTATCGGGTTATTTTGTATGTACATGATGAAAGAAAGGATGAAATAAAATATATTTTAATTGAAATACATATAATAGGGTATAAATCAAATTAAGATACAATGAATAAATTTGTTAATAAAAAAACCTAATAAGTTTATATTAAAACTTTAATTAATTAAAACTAAAGTAAAAAACAGTAGGAAAATTAATGAATTTAACTTTACAGACACATAAACAAATAGATTACCACAACAGCCAACACTTTAAACTTATTTAATCTCAAGATTTATCAATTTTTTTTAACTTTTTCACTTTCAATTCATTACAGTATACCAGCTGGGAAGGTAATCCAGGATATCAAAATCAACAGCAAATTGGCAGAGCTGTAGGTGATCACTTCTTTACCTGCCCCACAAATGAGTATGCACAGGCATTAGCTGAACGAGGTGCACAAGTACATTACTACTACTTTACACATGTAAGTATTAAAGTGCTTGAATTCGTATAAAGACAGTGTCAACTGAGAGAAAATGGACACATTTTCATATGAAAATACAATTTGATTTAAAGAAGGCGGTATTTAAAAGCTTTTTTGTTTAAAATGTATAGCATGGTCATACAAAATCATAGTTAAATTATGTTTATTTACTCTACGAACATACTGTATTTCAGTGCAGGTATACATACATCATCTATATATATAAAATTCTAACGTTACTGACTCACTGACTAACTGACTGATTGATCAACTCACATCCTAAACGGTTGAAGACGGGATTTTTGGAAATTAGAATGTTTAAGGGGTAAAAAAAGGTAAAAACGGGTAAATTCGGTAACCTCATATCTCCTAACTAGAAAAACAGTTTAAAGCTTAATGTCGTTCATTTAAAAAATAAGCGGACAGGTGTGCGGTACTTTTTTCAAATACGGCCCCTTTAGGGAATAAACGGATAAAAGCTGTATTTTGGTACTTTTTTTGAATTCCATGTATCTTTCAAACTAAAAAAATACAAAAAATATTTTTGACTTCTTCATAGCCTAAAAAAATATGAAAGTAGTACTTGTTGGATATTTGGACGATTAAGGCCTGAAAATTGTACATATTTTTGGTACTTTTTGCATAAAACATTGTTTCCTATGTATTGATTTGTATTAACATGTGAATGAATACTTAATGATGGGCTCGCACTACGATATTGCAACTTTTTGTAATAAAGTGTTTAGTACTTCAATGGGGAGAAAATAGTACCAAAAGGGGAAAAAACGGGAAATTTGATTTTATTCAAACTCACTGACCCAATTTTAATAAAATTGGAGAAATTGATAGATTTAGTAACACTTAATATACCAATGGGGTGTTACTTTTAACACCGGTACAAAGGACTACTGTTTGGTACTTTTTCGTTTTTTAACTGGTACTTTTTGTGTTTTTTATAATGTGGTCCTAGAAACATGATATTAAGCATGTGGAGCCCGGAGTAAATGAGAATCTGTAAAAGGAGAGTTTTTGGTACTTTTTCGTTCTTCAGAAGGTATTTTTTGAATTTTCTATAATATTGAACCTAGAACCATGAAATTAAGCATATAGAGCCCGAAGTAAGTGAGAACGTATAAAAGGGGACTTTTTGGTACTTTTTTGTTTTTCAAAAGGTACTTTTTGACTTTTTGATATTGCAGATATACATAAATGTATATTGGACTGAATGAAAATTTACAATAATATTTATTTTATTTCATTACGATGAGGGTAGCGAAGCACACTGGGTATAGCTAGTACAGCATAAAGTATAAATAGCAGTTATTTTTGTAAGAGTGTAAACAAAATGTTTCCTGTTACAATTTCGTAACTGTAAATTACTGCTGATGGCTGCATATTACAAATGTATGTATGTTTTTGAACACTGTCGTAATATGTATTTGTAAATCCACTTATATTTAAAAATAATTAGGTGGCTCTTTACAGTAGTATATGTTTTAAATTAAATTAAAATTTTCAAGGTCTGCGAGACATTTTCTATACAAAAGTATAAATGTTAACAGACTGTAAGCAACTATTTCTATAGAGACACTGAGCAACTTTTTTCATAAAAAGCTTAAGCAACTTTATCTCTACATGCTGTGATCAATATTTTTTATAGACTTTAATTTTACAGACTTTAAGCAACTATTTATATGGAAAAGTTTTTCGAGTCTGAGCAACTTTTTCCATAACAAAGTTCACACAGTTTGAGCAACTTTGTCTGTACACGCTCAGAGCAGCATTTTCTATAGAAATCTTTACAGACTCTACGCAACTATTTTTCATTATAAAAGTGTTAGACTCTGAGTTAACTTTATTATCAAAGTCTAAGCTACTTTTTCTAAAAAAAAAAAATACAACTTTTATATAAAGAAATTTGGCAAATTTTTACAAAGGCTTGAGCTGATACAAAAATAAAAATCTACCCTAAATGATACTTCCCTAATGTACATAAATATATATGCTATAAACCATAAGTATATAAAGAGTATATGTACTTATACATACATATATAACAGTTTATTTAATGATGTTGCCAGTTTTGCCTATTAAACATGATGACGTTGCTGTTGTGAATTCCTTTTTTTAAAGGTCAAAATATATATTTTCCTTACTAATGTATGTATATTAGGGTGGCCCCAAAATGGAAGTTGCTAATGTTCCCACCAAAAATGAAAATTTAGTTTATTCTAAGATAAAATTTTTGTCCTGACGTTTTGGTAACGTACATAACCATAGATAAATTCAAATAAAATTCGATCTAGATTGTATTTTGAAAAACGGAAAAAACCTTTTCGGTAAATTTGATTGATTATTATTATTATGTATTAATTTCAACGAATTATATTAAATTCATCTGTGATAAAATGTAATAAATCTAAAATTTTCCGAATTTCTTATATGCTAGTCAAAGCGTCTCTCAAGGATATTTCTAATGATACCAAAATTTCATATCATTCCTTTGAAAGAAATTTGAAAAAATTAAACAAGATCTTAAAAAAGGTCCTTTTATCCAGCTTACCAATCTAGAATCAATCGATCTAGCTAATCTAGCTATCTTGGAATCAACTAAATTTTAATATTAGATGAGAACATTGGCACCTTATTTTTCGTCCATACAAACGGGACCACCCTAATGTACATATGTACAAGTATGTATGTTTGAAAGTCTAAATATGTTAGCATGAAATTCATTAAAATTTTATTAAAACTTAACACTTTATGTCCTTGTTCGAATTTGTTTCCTCTGTATAAATAATATATATATAAATATATATGTAATTGTGTATATAAGTTTAATAGTATATGTATTTACCTATTTGTAAGTATGTTTGTGTAGTTTTGTTATCATTAAATTTATACACTACAATAATCATCATATTTACAACGATACTTACTATTCGTTTAAATATATATTTTTATACTTATTTACTAGCGTAAATATGTTGAAACGATATGTGTTTTTGTATGTAAGTACTATGTACGTATGTTTGTACTAGTTGTACTCTTAAGCAGGCAGTAAATACTCAGCCAAAGTAAAACTTCGACCACGACAAAACAAAATGAACATTCGTATGTATGTTATGTATTTTACTTTAATTATAAATAATAATTAAAGAAACAGAATTAAATTGTTTTGTTATTAAACGCCTGTTAATTTACATAAAGTAACAAACTAAATTGTTGATTAAATGTTAATGCAATTGTATGCAGATTTTTTTCGTTTCAAATTTAAAAGAAAAAATTTTGTTAAGTTTTTTCTTTTTTCGAAAAAGGGTTAACAGCAGCCCTTTTTTAACTTATTCTCTTTGTACAAGAAACTTTCTACTAAATTACAATTAAATGTTAATCTTGACTCTTTTGTAGTTTGATTCAATTCTAAACTATTTAACAGAGAAAGTGCCTTAAGCAAATTTCTTATTAAAGCTAAAGAAATTCTTCTTACACACATACATATGTTTATTATTTATTCCTTTGAGCACTTTAATGATTACAAATAAAACAACAAAAAAAAAAAAAAAAAAAAAAACAAGAAATAAACTAAAACAACATCAGCAATAGAAGAGAAAAATACTGAATACTTGGAAATAAACACTATAATAGAAATATAAAAGTTAAAAGCATTTTGTGTTGTTCTGTCAAAAAGTCACCATGGAAAAGAATACTCGCCATACTACCCCTTATCACTTCCTTCGATAACTGAACCACCGCTACCATCTTTTGCATTTTTAATGAATTAAAAGAATCCATCTATTCACATCATCAACAACAACAACAACAGCAAATAGAAAGAGATGATATAGCAAGAACAAGATAAACAAGTAAAGAGAAAATAAAGCAAAAATAAATCGTAACGGAAAAAACTTTAACATATGGTCGCATTTGAATTAGAGATGATATAGAGAGAAATGTGTAGAAGGAAAAAAATCCTTCATATTCTATTAAGTATTCCAACACATACGCATACATACATACATATATGTACATATGTATATTAGATACCTCGTCAATCTTAAAGATGTTTTAAAAATTTCGAATTTGAATAATATTTTCTATGAAAAATTTTCAACTTTCGAGAAATGTTATCTATAGAGCAGTGCTTGAGCAACTTTTTCTATAGAAAATTTATCAGCGCCTGAGCAATTTTATCTATAATAAGTTGTCATTTGTCAGCAACAACTTTTTCCTTAGAAAAGTTGTCAGTGTCTGAGCAACAACTTTTTCTATATAAAAAGTTTTCAGTGTTAGTGAGAACCTTTTTTTACAAAAAAGTTGTCAGTATCTGAGCAAGTTTTTCTAAAGAAAAGTTGTCAGTAACTGAGCAACTTTTTCTATAGAAAAGTTGTCAGTATCTGAGCAAGTTTTTCTATAGAAAAGTTGTCAGTGCCTGAACAACTTTTTCTATAGAAAAGTTGTCAGTATCTGAGCAACTTTTTCTATAGAAAAGTTGTCAGTATCTGAGCAACTTTTTCTATAGAAAAGTTGTCAGTATCTGAGCAACTTTTTCTATAGAAAAGTTGTCAGTATCTGAGCAACTTTTTCAAGAGAAAAGTTGTCAATATCTGCGAAACTTTTTCTAAAGAAAAGTTGTCAGTATCTGTGCAACTTTTTCTAAATTTGGAGAATTTTTCTACGGCAAAGTTGTTAGATTCTGTAAATTATTTTGAATAAAACAAACACAAACATTTTCATACAAATGTCCTTAATTTCCATTTATATGTGAATTAAGAAACAAACTCACCAATACAAATGCGAAAAGAGAATAAAACAAAATTTTATACAAAAGCAAAAGTTAGATTTGAATAAAAAATAGACAAAATTTAATATAAATGGGGAAAAATAGTTGAATTTGTGACGATTCTATAATGTGTATTTACAACTACAATTGCATGTATAATTGTACATTAGGGTAGTCCTTTTAAAGATATTCAACATTAATCATTTGAAATATATTGGGG